TAGGGAATATTTATTGAGATGTCTTAAAAACTGATATCAATTAATATTTATATTAAGTTAAATTTAAATGATACTATATTAAATAAATTCTTAACAAAGGTGAGCAGAAAGAAAAGGTTAAAAGCAACTTATATAAAGTAACTTATATTATTTATAAAAGGGATTTAATATTAATAGTTATAATTAATAGTGTTATAAATTTACTTTTTTAGTTCATAAAAGAAAAGATATATTTAATATCAACAATTGTAAAAAGTTACGTCAAGAATTTACAAAAAAATTAAAGTATTAGATATTATATAATATTATAGAAAGGATTAAGATTAGAGGAAATAAGTATATCTTCCCTAATAACCTTCTAATAACTGATCCAAAACCAACTATCAACTATCTAATGAGTATCTATTAATAATAAGCATTTAAAATCACTGAGATGATGTATAATCACTTTTAATTTCAAGATGATTTTAATGAAATTATTTAATAAATAGACAAAAAAAATACCCCTTATATTTTCCTAATATTTAAAAACTGTATTCTTTTGATGAACTCGTCAAAACCAGTCAAATTTATTTATTAAGAAATTATCCAAAAATTTGTATTAATTAATTTAAAGCAAATCATTTAAGTTTATTGTTATACATGTTCATAATCATAATTGACAGTTGTAAAATTCTTTATTTTCATCTCTATAATATATTCACCCACATTGATGTTAGATTAATTGGATAAAAATCTAAAGAACGACTATATATAAAAAACAAAAACTCAATGATATATATATTATTATGAATTTGAATATTCATGATTACAATAATATCATTAATCGATTATTAAAATTTTTTCAATAACTTTAATAATTAAGGCACTTATAAATATTTTTTAATTCTTAAACAAAATAAATTGAAAGATATTCAATTTTGAAATATGAATTAGTTATAGTTGCTTCAATGATTTTCGAGTAATTTAGAGACGTAATTTTCATAATTAGCATTATTGTTATTTTTCTTGAATAAATTTAATTGAGGATCATTCAAGAGTATTTGTAGACAGATAGAGTGATTCCCACTATCAGAAGCTTTTATATTTCTCTATAGACTTACATCACTCAATTCTTAGGGCCATTTAAATTGCTTTCTATTATTCCGTTTTAACATTCTTATAGACAATTAGATATAATGCATCAAAGAGGTAAATTTATGATTAATTTTTTTTTTTTCATTAAAAATATTGATTATCTTAAAGAAAATACTTAATCCTGTCCAATCATTCACAGTGATAAAATTAAAAATTATTTTTATGAGGTAATCAATAAAATTTGTAACCTGATGAAGAAATTTCAGATGGTGAGAATTTATATTCACTAAAAAATGTGGTTAAGAAGAAATATTTTTAGTAAAAAATAATAATAATTATATGAAATAAATTAAAGAATTAGGCCAAATTGATAAGAAA